CGTGTAGTGCTTTTCCAGGCTGTGGGAATTGGCGTTTGACCAGGAATCCAGACATTCAGCTTTGAACAATGTGTGTGTGTGTGTGTGTGTGTGTGTGTGTGTGTGTGTGTGTGTGAATGTGTGTGTGTGTGGGAGAGTGCACCTGCTACTCAGAAAGGCAAGGGTTGGTCCTGTGTGTCTGGTGATGGCAGCTCACTGATCTCTGCAGGAGAGGCAATGAGGAGGCACCCCCTCCCACGTGTGGACTATTGTCCCCTGTACCTGACTTGCCCTTCCCAGGGTCAGTTCTGGGCCAATGAAGAGCGCTGATGCTCCTACCTCATATCAGAAGGGCATGTAAGATGCTGGCATGCTTCTGATTGGCGCCAAGGAATTTTCCCCTCTTGACCCTTTCCACTTGGTCTTGCTGTCTGTCACCTGAAGGACACTAGAGGCACAGAGCTCTATCTCAGGGAACTTCCTGTCTATAGGCAGGCAGTCTCATGACTTTCTAGCATTGTCTGTGTGCTTATCTAGCGAACATTTAGTGAGATGGAGGGCCAGCCTGTGATGCTATCATGTACCTGTCCAGCTCCTGGGGTCCTAGAACAAGGATGAGCCTCTCTGGGTTTGGTGAACACCATGTCTGGCCTGCCTGCTCCTTCTAGGCTATATAGCCACTGTCTTTAGGTTTTATATTTGTCATAACCTTCAGAACACAAGTAACAGGGACTTTGTGTCTGGTACATGAAGCTTTTGTAAGTGCTCAGCTGTAAAAACTCAAAACCAGGCTATTTTCTAAAGCAAATGAATGCTGCCCGCTGTGAGCCTTAGAATATATTTCTCCTTTTTGAATATAAAGGTTACTTCTACAGCAACTTGAAAATAATTTTATTCATTCCCCTGTTCAAAATACTGGGAAATGTGAGTTTTTCCTCAGAGACAGACAGATCTACAGATGAGCGGGCAGGGTGGAGCAGTGTGTGTCTTGTGCTGGTCAGGGGAAAGGTGCCGCTGCAGGCTTGTGTTAGCTGGATCGATGTCTTGCTCACCAGGTCCTATGAGTATGGAGTTAGGATGGCCTGTGATACGCTTCAGCTGGTTCTTTGTGGGCAGGTGACTCCTCATTGCTGCGACCATGTCTGACAGAAGCAATTGAAGGGAGGAAGGCTGCGTTTGGGCTCACGGTCTGAGGGGATGCAGTTTGTTGTGGCAGAAAAGGCATGACAATGGAAAGAGGCTTCCTGCTTGCATCTCCATGGATAGGAAACAACTCCGATGGAAGAGAAGCCAGCCTATGAAACATCAAGGCTCACCCACACTGTTGAGGCATCGTGGGTGTAGCTTCACAGGCGTATCTAAGAGACGAAATCTGACAGCAAATTTTCTGTTCCTCTGGCTCTTAGAATCTTTCTGCTCCTTTCCCATGGTATTCCCTGAGCCTTAGGTTCAGGGATTGTGTGATAGATCTCTGGGCCCCTCATGGTGACTTAGTCTCTGTATTTTCATCCACCATGGTTTTTCTGTTATGATCTTCATCTACTGTAAGGAGCCTTTTAGATGAGAAGGGTAGGACCTATACTTCACCTGTGGGTGTGAGGATAAATATTCGGAATGTCATTTATGGTTTAGTGACATGGTTGTCGTAGGGTCTCCTCTGAGATCATGACTTCACTAGCCCTGGGTTTCCTGTACCAGGCATGATTTTCTTCTTGCCGAGTGGCCTTAAGTCCAACCAGAGAGCTGTTTGGTTATCCTCAAAGTATTGCATGCCTCTACTACCCGCTGAGAGCTACTGTGCCATGATGGTTGTTGCTGTAGTTCATAGGTGTTGTATCTGAGTGGACTATTGGTTGTTTTCCCTTGGAAACTTGCTAAGCTGATAAAAATTTATTAAGAAGTAATAAGCAGGGGTCTGGAGGTTAAGGGCACATACTGCTTAATCTTCCTGAGGAACTGAGTTCAATTCCCAGCACCCACATCAGGTGGCTTACAGCTGCCTGTCATCCCAGCTCCAGGTGGATCTCACACTTCTGACCTCTGTGGACACCTGCATTCATGTGCACGTATCTCCACATACACATAATTAAAATTTAAAAGGTAAAAAAAAAAAGAAGTATAGCAACAAGTTGGACAGTGGTGGTGCATGCCTTTAATCCTCACACCCAGGAGACAGAGGCAGATGGATCTCTGTGAGTTTGAAGCCAGCCTGGTCTACAGAGCGCATTACAGGACAGTCAGGGCTATTACACAGAAAAACCCTGTCTCAAAAAAATCAAACCAAACCAAAACAACATCAACAAATATCCTAACCCCTTCCCTCAAACAAACAAAAAACCAAACAAACGAAATGGGAGGGGACATGAAATGGCCAGGATCAGCTGAGAACCAAGTAAGACAATGTTGGCAAAAAGAACATGAGGTATTGGTTGGGCAGTGGTGCCTTTAATCCCAGCACTCGGGAGGCAGAAGCAGGTGAATCCCTGTGAGTTTGAGGCCAACCTGGTCTACAAAGTGAGTTCCAGGACAACAGACTCCAAAGCTACACAGAGAAACCCTGTCTCGGAAAAAAAAAAAAAGAAGAAGAAGAAGAAGAACGTGGAGTATTTTCAACACTGCCGTAGGATTAATAACCACAGCCCAGGGGGGAAGAGTCATGTAGGCCTTGACTGCCCATTGGTTTCCTGACTGCCTAGACCCAAATAATCACACAGAAACTATTTTAATTGCAACACGGTTTGGCCTATTAGTTCAGGCTTCTTATTAACTAACTCTTACATCTTAAATTAACCCATTTCTATTAATCTATGTATCACCACAAGGCTACCGGGAGTCTTTCTCCTTAGGCAGCTACATGGTGTCTCTCTCTGACCCGGCTTTCTTTCTCCCTACATTCAATTTAGTCTTTCTGCCTAGCTCTATTCTGCCTTGCCATAGGCCAAAGCAGCTTCTTTATTAACCAATGGTAATAAAACATATTCACAGCATACAGAGGGTAATCCTGTATTAGAGTTGGGTCCCCAGAAACCACAACCTTGACTTCTGTGAGGCACTGGCTCTAGTGTCAGATAGGCCTTACCAAAGCCGTTCCGGGACAAGGACACAGAGCTAGAGTTCCCTTTGTTGCCTGGATTATCTCACTCAATATGATCTTCTCTTGTTCCATCCATTTACTTGTAAAGTTTGTGGTTCCATTTTTCTTTAATCTATATAGTACCACATTTTTATTATCTTTTGTCAGGTGAAAGACATTCCGGTTGTTTCCACTTTGTGGCTGTCATGAATAGAGCGGCGAAGGGCATGGCTGAGGATACTGTAGAGTAGGTTGCTGAGTCCTTTGGCCATGTGCTGGGGACTGGTACAGCCAGGTCACGTGGCAGATTATTTTTAGCCTTTTGAGGACACTCCACACTGATTTCCAGAGTGGCTTGACCAGTCTGTAATCACACTTACAGTGGATAAAGTTCCCCTTTCTCCACGTCCTCTCCAGCATTTGTCATTGCTCTTTCTATTCTGATGGGGTCATATGGAGTCCCTAAGGCCCTTTAATTTGCAGTTGCTAGAGATGATGAGCTTTTTTTCTTATTTTTTTTGTTTGTTTTTGGATATTTCTTAGCATTTCCCCCTTGTTTTGAGAACTTTCTGTTTAGATCCCAGCCCCCCCTTAATGATTCATTTCTTTTTTTATCTTGTTTTGTTTTGTTTTTGTTTTTTTTGACACTTTGTCTTTTGAGTCCTTTATATGTTATGGATATTAATCCTCTGTCAGATATACAACTGGCTAAGAGTTTCTCCCACCCTGTGGGCTCCCTCTTCAACATCTTCACTGATTGTTGTGTATAAGCTTTGGGGTTTTATGAAGTCCCACTTGTTAGTTATTGGCCTCAATTCCCAGGCAAATGGAATTCTATTCAGAAAGTTCTTTCCTGTACCTGTGTCTGTAGCCTATGTTTTCTTCTAGTCTTTTCAGTGTTTCAGGTTTCACATTCAAGTCTGTCTGTCTGTCTGTCTGTCTGTCTTTCTTCCTTTCTTTCTCTCTCTCCTTTTTCTTTTTTTTTTTTGCTGCAATAAAAATATGCTACAGATCTTAACAGAAGGTTCTTGAAAGAAGTAAAAATGTCTAAGAAACATTTAAAAAAAAAAGTAAGTTCATTGTCCCCAGCAGTTAGGGAACTGCAAATCAAAACAACTTTGAGATTCTTATTCCAGACAGAATGGTAGATATCAATGAAAAAGCCTACAACAGATACTGGAGAGGCTATTGAGCAAAGGGAGCCCTCGTTTATCCATCCCAGCTCTCTAAGACATTTGCTTTTTATTAACCCTTCAGATCCATGGTTGAAGTAGTTGGGCTGCATCAGTGGGAAACGGCTGTGATTGACTCAAGGGGAAGTAGCTCCTGTCACAACTGGCCTGTCAAGAGCCTAAAGTATGGATGCAGCTCTCAGCTCTGCACTTCTCACCTCTGCAAGGTGTTGCCTTTGCCCCACCAAAGACAAGGCATCACATGTGAGATCCCTTCTTCCAGTGCCTTCTGCAGTTGCCTACTCCTGTGGGCCAGCTGTGTGTTCCTTAGTGACAGGTGAGCTGTGTCATATGAGCACCTGAGTCAGCCTGGTGTACTCTTGTGACTCCTGGCTTGGAAGACCGACACCCCTGTACTGGCTGGTTTAGTTCTTGATGAGATTTGTTTTCCAGGCTTATACGGCTACCTTCTTGCTGTCCTCACATGGCAGAGAGACAGGGCTGCGAACTCTGCTCTCTCCTCTTCAGGGACTCAGGTCCCCTCCAGAGATCCTACCTTCATGATCTTTTCCTACCCGATGTGTCCCTCATGCTGGTGGTCACAGCTTTGACATGTGACTTTGGGGACACTGAGACAATGGTAGTGGCTCTGACATGTGTCATTAGATGCCAGTGAACGAGCTTGCTGAAGTGTGAAAGGTCTGTATAGAATCTATGGCTACAGGATCGGGGGTCCCCATTGTTCACATTAATATTTGGCATTTGTCTTTCTTTAGCGTCGTGTGGGAGCCGATGGGGGATGGGAAGAAGGTCATTTCTCTGGCTGACAGCCACATCCTGCTGTGGGACCTCCAGGCAAGCTCAAGCCAGGCTGTGGTGAGTAAGAAGGACAAAGGTCTCAGTGGGTGGTCTTTGGAATTGGACTTTTTGGGTTGAATTCAGAATACACTTCCTCCTCCACACATCTGGAATTTTGAAATTATTTATTGCATAGGAATTATGCAGGGACGGAGGTGTAGAGAACTGAGTGCTAGGCCTTGTGGGTCCAAGAGGAAAGCACTGTGAAATGGGACCGAGCCTCACTGAGGATGGCTTCAGGTCCAAGTGTGCTCTTTTCACAAGGCTTTTTTAAAACCACACTTGAGGAGGGACACTTATGCAGGCTTGATTCCACATTGCTGGCTAGCTTCCCCTGCATTTACATGAGTTTTAAAAATGAATTTGAGTACTTTCTTGGGAGTCAGTTTGTTTTTGGATACTCATTTTGAATATTTTGCCTTTTGTAGAGAAAAGTATTGTGTGTATTTTTCATGTTTGATTCCTTAAATCTTTCTTTTGTAAAATGCGTGTTTACAGGCATTCATAATTTCACTGCACTTGTTGTCAGAGTATCAGTTGTAGAAAGAAGAAACTGTATAGTGCCATGTCCCTAGGGCCACATCGTCACCTTCACAGTAGCCGAGGTCTTATGTTTATTTGTTCCCATAATGCTTGCTGAGCTCCTTCCCTCGTGGTGCTTTACAATATTAATAATGCCCCTAGGTTAAAGAGAAAACATGAGTGATGATGTGTGGTTATTAATATGAGGTATAGATGCTAGACTTCTTAAAATATTAACTGACTTTTTAAAGCCTAAAAACTCTTGCCATAGTACCAAGTAAAGTTTGGGTTGGCCTGCTTTCCTAGAGCACTGATGGTATTTAAGGAAAAAAGTCATTTTAAAAGACAATTTTAAAAAATCACCATATTCTATATGATAATACCAGATCCACAGAAGTTTTTAAAGTAAAAGTTGAAGCAGGGGACGTAGTGCCTTGGCATGCCTGTTGACAGGTTCAGTCTGGGAACATGCTCTTGACCTCCACCTTAGCTGATCTGAGTAGGGCTGGGTTATAATCGGCAGCCCTCCAGCTCCTCCTTCAGCGGTATCGTAGCTGTCAAAGCTTCCAGAAAGAAAAGGGAAATACTCCTCCCCTGCTCGTCAGGCAGGCTTGCGATGCCCCTGGGGAAGAGCTAGTACAGCCTCCCTGGCACTCTTGGTGTCCCTGAGCTGGGACTGTGCCCAGCAGAGGCCCAGGGGGCACGTCTTAGCTCAGGAGGTCCTGCTTGCCCTTGGCCGTCCTGTGCTGTGGTCAAATAGTGAACACATCTTCACACCCCAAGTCCTCGCTAAAGCGTTTCATGGCGGGGTGATTAATCTGTAACTTATTTTCTGCAGAGACCAATTTAGTTTTCTCTCCCCCTTTTTTATCTGCTGTCAGCAGTTCTGTCAATATCCCTTTGTGACCCAGCGCCGTGGTATTTAATACAGAAACCTTCCCATCGATTGCAGCCTCCTCATACTGGCTTCTCCTTTTCCATTGTTTGAGGATATTGCCTTCTGTGGTGAATCTAATCTTATGCTCCCTGCATCATTACCTTCTGCAATTAAATTGGAGATCCTTTGCCATTTATAATCATTAGCTGAGCCCTGGGGAGGCCTGGAGTGGGCGGGTCTTCGGGTTGTGTGGACAGCAAGGAAGGCTTGGGTGGCCTCCCTGTTTCCATCTCCTCATCCCGCTGCCTGCCCTCTGTGGACATCAGTGCTTCTGTCAAGGGGGCAAAGCACAGACCCTGGTGATGCTCCTGCCTGGTGTCTACACAGGAGTTCCTCCGCATGATAGCTCTTACACACAGTAGCTCCCGTGAAGAGACACAGTGTGGCCTAAAGTTCTAAGTCAGCATTCACAGGAATGTTTTTCCCAGACCTAGATGTGGTTTGGAAGTATTTCTCGTGCCACATCACCTATTTCCATCTTTTGTATGGGCTTACACAGAGCCATAGCTTTTGCTGTTTTTCTTCTTGCTTTCTTTTTTAATATTTTATTTATTCATTGAGGATTTTACACGTTTTGATCATATTCACTCCCTCCCCATTCCTCCCAGATCCTTCTCCACCTCCCTACCCACCCAACTCATTTTTAATTAGCATACAAATTATAGATTTCATTATGGCATTTTTGAAACTTTTTTTTGTTTTTGTTATTTCTCTTCCCTACTACCCCATATTTTCCCACCTCAAAGGTTTTCATGAAAAAAAAATAGACTTTAAACAGCACAAGCCTATAATTCCTGCTAATCAGGATGCTGAGGCAAGAGGATTGCAATTTAAGGCTTTCTTGACTATAGAGTGTGTTCAGGGTTGGAATGGATAACTTAGTGAAACACTGTTCAAAATAAAAGTTAAAAGGATGCAACTCTACCGCAATTGTAGAGCACTTCCTAGCAGGCCCTGAAATGCTCTCTAGAATAGCAGAAACCTGAACTAAGCGATACCTCCAGTCCCCTGAGCAGCATTCTTGACAGCCTCATGTTGTTAGCCATGCACATTGCATTACATCCCCAAAGTCCACAGTACATGAGGCTCGCCTTGGATCCTGTGGTCCAGATAGATACAAAGTGATGGGGCTCCATGCTGTAGTGCCCTGCAGGGGCCTCCACTGCCCTAAAGACCCAGTGTTCAACCAATTTTCTCTATGCTCTTCTTGCTCCTCAGGTAACTACCTCCTGTCTTCATACCTTGTCACTATTTTCTCAGCTTTATCTTTTCTGTCACAGAATTGAGACCTGATATGTGCAGTCTTCAGCTCAGCTTCTTCCACTTTGTCTTCTCATAGCCTGATTACTGCTTCTTACCCAAACACTGTTCCTCTTGGGGACTGTCCTTGGTTTAAGCCTAACAATCCCAAGGACCCATGAATTCGGAAGGCTTTCTCATCCAGATCTTCCTAGGTGCCTAGGTTTTCATGTCCTAGACTGAGGTTCGTGAGCCATTTGAGTTAATAATTATCTAGAGTCTCACATATTAGACTCCACCTAGATGGATAAGGGGTCTTCCACCAGCCAGGTGAGTATGACGGGTAGTTTCCTAACTTGCTTTGATGTGCATTTTGTAGGGTACATATAGGTTTCCTTAAGTGCTTCTGGGTTTGCTCTGCTGGTATTTGTGGCTGTGGCTTCTCTGGCTTCACATCTGTGACGAGTGACGCCAAAGAAAAGCCTGAAAATAACCCAAGGCTCCCTCTGGTTAGCCTCCCGCTTCCTCCTCCTGGAGCTGCCCTATGTGACCTGCAGCAGCGACAGCTTTGCTTTACAGAGCAGAGAAAGCAGGGGAGGATGTGCCTACTGCACCTTCTATTCTGTAGATCCCTTCTTTGGTGTCTTCCCTTCCTTCCCTGTGTTTGGAGACCTGGATGATAGGAAAATTCTGTTGTTTCTAATCTGAGAAAAGTATACACCCACGTGGATGAATGCTATGTATGTGTCTCTACTCACCCAGTGCCAGGGGGCATGGGAGGAGGTTAGCAAGCAGGCAGAATGAGGAGTGGTAGTTGGCTCCACAGTGCAGACAACAGATCTTGCTCTCCATGAATTTCTTGTGACCTGGAGCTAAGTAAACTTAGACTCTTAAGAGCCAGCCATGTCCCAGGCCTAGGCCATTTGATGTCAGAACAGGTGCAGGCAATTTTAGAGGGGCAGCTCCTTCTGACCAGTGTTTGAGGACATTTAAATACAGACGTGTTCTTTGACCCTCCCACTAGGCAGATGAAAGCAAGAGGCTTAAAGAGACCAAAGAACCTTCTGCAGGGGACTTGATATAAGTGACAGCTGCAGAACTTACTCCAGCAAAGGATTCCCAAGGCTCTCGCCTGCCCAGCCCCTGCTTCCATCCTTAGGATGGTGTAATCTCAGAGGCTGGCTCATGCCTTCAGGTTGAGTGTCTGCAGTTATCCGTAGCCTTGTGCCCAGGGAGAGTGCGCTTGATTGACAGGGAATGAATATTTAGAACAGCATGCTGTAAACAAGGCTATTAATAAAGCTTGTAAGCTGCTGGTGGAAATGTGAAAAATAAATGAAAATTGGTTTTCTTGTGACACTCATTTCCGGTGTCTTGACTGGATCATGAGAGTAAATGTCACCTTTAGAGCCTGAACTTGAGGTAGAGATTGGTGAACTTACATTTAGGACAACTGTGCTAGGTGTAGTGCACACCTGTAACTTCGGTGCTGGGTGTAGTGCACACCT